GTCAATCTGCTCCTGGGTGTAAGGCAATATAATGATATCTGGTTCTTTACCAAAGTAGCATTTTCCTTGACTTCTGCCGAGAATTATAAGCTTAGATATGGCTTGATAGTAGGGTTCTGTGACCTTTTTGGGTGTAGCTGGCAAATGGACCCACATTAAGGGAGTCGTCTGCCAGAAGACAGCAGTTGGGGAAAGGGTGGTTTTGCATATAATAAATTTTAAAGGTTTGTCATAATCCATAAAAGTTACAGCTTGAGAGTGGATGGCCTGTTCCACAACATGTATGGCTTGTCTCCCTCCAGGAGTTAGCTCACGGGGAGACGTGGGATTAGGATCACCCCATAAGATATCATAAAGGGGTTTTAATTCACCCTTGCTAAGTTTTAAGTAGGGGGTAAGCCAATTGATATCTGCAAGGAGCTTTTGGAAGTCGTTTAGGGTCCTGAGTTTGTCTAATCTCAATTGTACCTTCTGTGAAGAAATCCAGGGCCCCCTCATTTGAAAGCCTAAATAAGTATATGGATCTGTGAGCTGAACTTTATCAGGGGCAATTTCTAATCCTTTATTATGTAAGGCAGTCTGTAGCTCATCAGAACATCTTAAAACATCACCACCATTTTTCCCAGCTATTAAAATATCATCCATATAATGAATGATATATATCTGGGGGGCCAATGATCTCTTGTTGACTGTATTGCTGAAGCAACAAAGGGTTGACACAAGGTAGGGGAATTGGCCATGCCTTGTGGCAGGACGTGCCGTTGAAACCTTCTCATAGGCCCTCGAAAATTAATGGCGGGCAAACTGAAGGCAAAACGTTTTTGATCTTCTGGATGTAGGGGAATGGTGAAAAAGCAATCTTTTAAATCTATGATAATTTTGAAGTGGCCCAGGGGTATGGCAACGGGTGAAGGGAGGTCTGGTTGCAGTGCCCCCATTAAAACCACAGTTTTGTTTACTGCCCTGAGGTCTTGTAACAATTGCCATTTTTTGGACTTTTTCCTGATGACAAAAGATAGGGGTGTTCCAAGGGGAATTACTGGGGACTATATGGCCAGCTTCAAGTTGCTCCCGCACCAACTGTTGTGCAGCCAATAACTTTTCAGAAGTGAGAGGCCATTGATCGACCCATACAGGTTCTTCTGACAACCACGTAATTTTTTCTGCATGGGTCACAGGAGAATCAATGGCCCCTATGGAAAATGGCCTAATCTGGCTCTATTAAACTTTTGGGCAGTCTCAACGGGTTTAACAATCCCTGAATTATTTTTTCCAAGACCTTGACCAGGTGAGTATCCATTTTTTAGCATTTGAGTAGTGACAGCCCTAACCGTATTAGGGCTGCCCATGATTTAACCCCATTTGAGACAACAGGTCTTGGCCCCAGAGATTTATTGGCAGTCCGGCTATAACAGGGTTGTATAGTGCCTTGATTGCCCTCTTTATCCTTCCATGTCAGAAGCCTTGAGCTTCTCTCTGGATTTTGGCTTTGACCTATGCCCTTTAAATGAGTCATGGTGATGTCTAGGGGCCAAGCTGTAGGCCAATCATCCTTTTTGATAATAGTGACATCTGCACCTGTATCTGTTAAACCTGAGAACTCTTTTCCATCTAGCCATAGGGACATGAGGGGTTTTTGTGCTGAAATGGCTTGTACCCAGTAAACGTCTGATGATCCAAATCCCTTATTGCCTCGTTTTTGAGAGGCAACCTTATTAGAGGTTGGAATAAGAGGTAAAAGCAGTAATTGAGCAAATCTCTGTCCTATCCCAATGGTGTTAACATCCCTGGGAGAGGACACCATGACCTTTATCTCTCCGGAATAATCATTATCTATCACTCCGGGAAAAACTTGCAGTCCGTTAAGTGTTGTGCTGCTACGCCCTATTATAAGAACAAATGTATCTTTAGGTAAGGGGCCAAAAACTCCGGTAGGGAGGGCCTGAACCCCCATGTCGGGGGTTAGTACTGTGTGGGCGGAGGAACTGAGGTCCAATCCTGCGCTCCCTGCTGTGGTTCTGAAGAGGTCTGAAATGGATTGCTGTTTGCTGGAACAAAGCTGACTGCCTCATAGATCTGTTTGGGTTTGGGGGCCTGGGGCTGGCCCCAATTCCTGTTTCCCTGTAACAGAGGCAATTCTTTGCCATTGACATCCTTTTTAGACTTACATTCATTGGCCCAGTGGTATCCTCTCTTACATCTGGGGCATAACCCTGGTGCCTTGGGTTTTGTGTTAGCATTGGAGTCTTTTTTACAGTCCTTAGCAAAGTGGCCAGCTTCTCCACAAGAAAAACATTTCTGCTTATTTTTTTGAGATAGAAATTGTTTAACTGTAAAGCCCTGTAGGGCGGCAGCCATAGCAAGTCCCTGCTGATAAGCAGCCCCGATGTCAGAACAAAGACGTATATATCCTGTTAAGTCTGTTTTTTTCTTGTAGGGCCTGATTGCAGCCTGACATGCAGCATTAGCATTTTCAAAGGCTGTCTGACAAAGTCTGTGCCTGCGTCAGCATTGCCGAAAATTCTGCCGACTGCGGTAAGCAGGCGGTGAACAAAGTCTGCAAAAGGTTCATCTGGCCCTTGTTTAACATTAGTGAGAGAGGAACTCATTTCTCCCTTAGAGGGGAGCTTTCTCCATGCCTGGGTGGCTGCTGTTTGAATTTGAGCGAAAAGCCCTGCATCTAATCGCATTTGGGTAAGATTGTCAGTGTGAGGACCCTCTCCTGCTAACATATCAAAATTCCATCTGTTGCCAGCTTGTGCATTACGTCTGGCAGTATCTTTACAGTTTTCTATATTCTGATTTCCATAGAAGATAATCTCCTCCCAACAGAGTCGCTCGAGCTAATGTCTGCCAATCTATAGGTGTGAGCCAATTTTCAGCTATGGAGTCCAAAATGGCGGCAGTATACGGGGCTGTAGCTCCGTATTGTGCCACCACTGCCTTTAGTTCTTTCAGTACTTTAAAATCGAAACCAATATGATTACGGAAGACTTGACTTTGGGCGTCTGTTGTCTCGGTCACTGGAAACACCTTCATTTCATCTAACTTAGGAGCTGAGTCAAAAAGAGGGGTACATTTTGACATTGCGCCCCTCCTGGGTGGTTGTTGCCTGAGGGGGGTTCCGGATTTGGTCTCATTTTCAAATTTAGATTTTTCTATTTTTAGGCTTTCTAACTGGGCTATCAAGTCTTGATGTTCCTTCTCCAATTTTATTTGTTCCTTTAGCAGCTCAATTTTGTCCCAAAGTTCCTTTCTGGGGTCAAAAACCGGAAAGGCGGAAGGGGGGGCAGTGGGACTAACATGCGTACCTGGCGGCCCAGGTGGGCAGGCGGCAGGGGCCATGGGACTAACACTATACGGCAGTGGCCAGTCCGGATTGTGGTACCGGGTGGCCTCTTCTGCCAGTTCTTCCCAATCAGTGTTATCATCATCCACCTTGGCCTTTAAAGGCTTCAGATCAGGGTATATTTTTTTAGGTTTGGCTCCTCCAAAATCGCCAGAAGTTCCCTCTTTTGGGGGGCCATCAGTGCCAGATTGGTCCTTTTTGGCTTCCTTGCTTGGGGGGAATTCCCTTTTGTGATTTGTTTGGCCCTTTTCTTCCTCACTGTCACTGTCAAAGGACGTAAGGTCCTTTTCTTTTTTAGTGTCTGATTATGGGTCTTCCCCTCTTAAACTGGTCTCTCTCTCTCTATGGTTATCTTGGAGAATTTTTTTGCCCTTTTGAATCATATTAGCAACCTGTGGGTCATTTTGTCTCTGAGATAAAATTTCGTCTATTAGATTCCAATAAGCAAAGGCAGTTACCGGAACCTTCTCAGGCCAAAAACATCATAATAATCTTTGAGAGCATCACCAACCCTTTCCCATCGTTTTGAATCTATAGTTCCTTCAGTAGGGAACCAAGGGCAGACTTGTTTAATGAAGTCAAAATACTGACACAATTGCTTAATTTTAACCTTTACTCCTCGTGCCTTTAAGGCTTTTCCTAAGCCCTCAATAAACACTTCATGCTGACTCATTTCTTGTCCCATGATCGCTGTTCACTTACCAAGGTGTAGAAAACGCAGCAGGCTCCTGCGTTGACTTATCCTCTTTCTCTTTCCGTGCCGGCCTCACAAACAGTGTCCCTCACTGAAATCCCCGTTCTCGAGCCCCATGTTGGGCGCCACTTGTCCCGACCCGTGGGTAAGACAACGAAGACCCTAGAGGGGGAGTGGGGATGAGATAGGGACAAGAGACACAAGGAATGGAGTCAAGACAGGATTCTGATCAAGTCTCGTTTATTGGCAGGAAGTGCTGTGTATATATAGGGCAAGGAGAAATGCGCAAGTTCTTAAGGCAGGAGTAACCAAGCAATGGGACAAAGGTGGGAGTAGCTAGGCAACGGTGGGCGGTCCTAACCTTAAGGGAAGGGCGCGTGACTTCGGGGAAATAGGCAGGGTATGAAGAAACAGAAACTTATCTCAGAAAACAGAAACTTAACTAATACTTAAGATGGCTGCTAATATAAAATGGAGGTCAGTCACAGGTCTTCCACAGTTAGAGGCACTGAAGCACTGTAGTCCAGATAATGTCACTCTAGTCATTAGAGATGAGACACCAATAATCTGTAAAGTACATCTATAAGCAGATAAGTTCTTCTCAAATGTCACTCGTAACAGAGAATGGTTAAAAGATAACAAATCAGGTTAAAATTACTTTATTTCATTTAATTTTTTTTTTTTTTGAGACAAGGTCTTGGTGTGTGGTTCAGGCTGACCTTGAACTCACCATGTAGCTGTATCAGTCAGGGTTTACTAGAAAAACACATAGAACAGAAAATATACAAATGTTCAAGAAATTACAAGTTTGGCTTACAATGGTCAGCCACAGAATTGGATGAGGAAGCGTGCAGAGGCTGTCTGCACACTGGAGATTGAAGAGCCCAGTCCAGGACCTGGAGCTCACTGCAGGGTCTGTGCAAGTCGGTATCAGGAGGCTGGTGTGTCTGCAACGGAATGCTGAAGAATCTACAGTAAAGGCCAAAAAGTCTACACCATAAGGCTGAAGGGTGGCAGGAGGAAGTCGAACAGTCTGCACCAGATGCCAGGAGATGACTAAACTGAGGACGGGAGCTCCTCTGAGGAACCAGAGACTTTGCCTAAAACTGAGATTAAGGCTGGGCGTGGCAGCACAAGCGTGTAATCCCAGCCCTCAGGAGGCTGAGGCAGGAGGATTGTTGTGAGTTTGAGGCCAACCTGGGCTACAAAGTGAGCCCAAGGCTAGCCCAAACAGCATAGTGAGACCCTGTTGCAAAAAGACTCCCGCCACCCCCACCCCTGCAAAAAAGACTGAGATTAAGGACGGTGGACTAATTAATCTGGTAGGAAAAATTTCAAGGCAGTCAAATGTTGACACAGTAGCATGAGTCTTTGGGAGCAAAATGTTATGATTCTAATGTAATATAATGTGGATAGACTTAATACTGCTTTAAAGAAATGTGTCTGACTGCCAAGTTGACAAGGGGTGGAGTGTTATGGCTGATACATTGTGTCAACTTGATGAGTCTAGAGGTTTGGCTAAGTGACTCCGCATTTCCACAGGCTGGGGTGAAAAGGACGTGAATTTTCAAGTCTGGGATGTTGTTCACTGTGTCAAGGTTTTAGAAGGTTAAATAAGTAACTCATCAGGGAGCCAAGGTCCTCACTTTGTATTCATCCTGAGCCTGCGGAAGAGGAGGGCATGGAGATGATGTGAGCGCTACACGCCCCCTGGGTGGGCATGGCCTGCTTACAATATAAGGGAGGGAAAGAGACCTGTTCTTCCCCTTTGCTCTTGCTGCTTTTGCTGTCTTGTGCCACCTTGAAGTGTTGCCCTTGTGCCAAGCCACTCTGCCTTGGAGTCAGCTGATTATAGACGGGAACTTCCGCAAACTGTGAGCTAAAAAAACCTTTCCTTCCTGAATTTTCGGTGTTGGGTATTTTTTTCAGCAGTGAGAGAAAAGTAACCAAGACAGTAACGAAGGGTGGTCTTGAAATTGTGGCAATCCTCCTGTCTCAGCCTCTGTGGTGCTAGCATTTCAGGTGTGCACCAGCACACCCACTAATATTTTGTAATTAGATAAAGATAACTGGCCAACAACTATTCTATTTTAAGATGAACAGCTAAATGAGGTTCAGGGATAATGACACATCTTAGGGGTTCCAGTAATGTCACCATGATTGTCATGCTAAAATGCTGTGTTACGCTTGATTTCAAACCTTCTATGTAAAACTTTAACCATTTGCATTCTGTTAGAATCCAGTGTCTAAGATGATCAAGATTGGTGAAGAAATAACTTTCCTGGTCATATTATAGATTTCAAACATTCTCCTGAATGTTCCACAACTGAAATTTGGAGACCAAAGGTACAAAGATAACTGGGCTAAGAGAACAGCTGATATTTTGGCTCTGGCCCTCAAAGGTCATCAGTGACCCAGGACAGGAGGAGATCTCTTGCACAGATTTTACAACTTTGGTGAGTCACTCAACCTTCTGAGAAGGAAGATTGTTAGACCTCAGAGGACAGGAGTCAATCAG